GGGAGTCTACTGCGAATTGTACTGATTATATCTGAAAACTTGCACCCAGCTTTTGCTGCTGCCTTCCCTGAGGCATGAGAATCTGGGCATGTCTTGCAATCTCAGACATCATTTTGGTGCCCTTTAGTTTTGCCTTATCTGTGTAATACTCAAGTTTGTATAATACATGGGATTGCCTCCCACAGGAGCTTTCTGTGCTCCAGCTTTACAGCACTTTGATTTCCTTGCACATCACGCAAGGCAAAACCACAAAAACTTGATTTTACAGCAAACAGCACAGAGCATTATGTGAGGGTCAAGTAATGGATTATGGATTTCCAGAAAGTTATGCCAAAAGAAGAAAAGACCTGCCCTCACTGTTGATACCAAAAAAGGTTGTTAGTTGTATCAATAGGAGCAGGACAGTAGGTAGTATTTCTTCAATGCAGTATGGGCTGCTGGGAAAAAGACTTTTGAGGTCTCAAAGAGGAGATTTTGTCTGGAAAGATATGCAGAAAACAAGGCAGTATTGAGGGGTTGTTGTGAAGCATACTAACCCCCCATCTTATCTTTCTGCTTGTTTTCCAGAATCTGTGTAATGGCAGTAATCCCTGCTGCTCTCTTTGGGCAGTAGGGCACTGTGGACATGGAGCTGCATGCACAGCTCTTCTCTGCAGGTGGAAGCTTGTTCTTCCTTACAGAGGTGTTTTGTCCTTGAACTATTCATGGTTTCAGCTTTCACAGGCTGGTTGGGAAAGTCCCAGTTCCTACCAAGGGATACCAGACAGTCATGGGTCAACAGAGGCCAGGGCAGGAGGCAGCCAAGGGAGAGCTGCAGTGGGCAGTTCCCTTGCAAAGGCAAGGAGCCACGATAGCTCTTTTCTGTCATGTGTACAATCACTCGTATCTCACTGCAGACACTGTACTATTTCCATGTAGTCCCACCCGTGCAGAGCAGGCACAGCACCTTGCAGGACCTTGGGATCCAGTGCAGACCTGGCACTGTGTTGGTGTGTCAAGTCACACTTGGTCCTGGACATCTGGGTACAGGCAGGGACTCGGAAATGCTCCGGATGTCTGTGCTCACTCTGTGTTGGGGGTCCAACTTCTTAGCACCTGATGCTGCCAGAGATGAGAAACAGCCCTTTCCACTGCCTAATTTCCTAATTTTAGCTCTCCACCTTGAGGCCCTGCATTACTGGTTGCCATGGTGATCCTTCACCACTGGCATTGCCTCTGGCTTTCTTGCCTTCGGTGCCTTGGAAATGTCTTTTTCCTCTCTTCTCCTCAGGAGACAACAGCTGAGGCAGAGGCATTGCATGTGACTCTCTGCACTGTCAGCTCAGGTCTTCTGCTTAATGTTTGCCTGTTAACATGCAAGAACCTTCATCCACGGGGTTACACTTCCTCGCCCTCCAAAAGCATTGTGCATTCCCATCCCCATTCAGTAGACAAGCTGGGCTATTCATACATGACACTACCCAGCTGTCCTGAACTTCTGGCCCTTGAGCTGTTGAGAACAGCTTTCTCCATGGTTTTTGCCAGAGAAGATGTCTGGGAAGGTTGTGCCCCTGCAGGGTGAAGAGTCAGAGTGCCCCTGTGCTGTGGCAGACATTCCAAAGGCACAGGCACTTCTGCCCTGGCTTCATCCTTGCTGCTTTTACACCTTCCCACTTGCTCTCTGGGCAGCAGAGGAGTACGTAAAAGCACTGCCCAGAGAGAGAGCTTGGGCACCTCACTCGAGGCAGAAGAGAGGAGCTGCCTTGCCAAGGCTTGCAGTGGAAATGCCACCGTGCAGCAATTAATAACAACTCTCTGCCCTTTCCCTTCCGCCTGCCCGAGCGGGCTGTGGACTGGAACGGGTGACACTTCCCAAGCACAGGATGACAGAAAAGGCAGTGGCAGCTCTCAGAGATGTAGCAGTGTAAAAGCTGTGATTCCAGCCCCCAAATCCTGATATTAATTAATTTAAGGGCAATGATGTTGAAATACTTTGGAGTCCTTTTTTAAAATGTAAAATTTTAAAAATTTGCGGTTTATATTTTCAAGATTTTACAAGGCAGGTGCAAGGATGGGCTATTTAATATTAAAGTGACAGCTGCCATCCTCACTCACGTGACTCCAGCAGGTGAAGCTTTATAAAAAGCAAACATGGCAAGGTCCAAGGTAAGATCAGAGTATCTGTCACAAGAAACCAGTTTGGCTGGTAGCTTCTGGGAGATCACCAGAGAATCGGGAGATTATAAAGTATCATTCGCAGACCCCCACTGTAGTCATCCAGTCATCCACCTCTGTTCCTGTTACACTCTCAGTTGTGTACAGGAGACTCCCACATTTGCTGGGAAGGCAGCCAGGAGCTGCTAGAAAGAGTTCCCACCCTGTGGTACGCCACAGGGTTGAGAAACCCTGTGCCAGAGTGAGAGGGCAGACAGGCAGAGCAGCTTGCTTCATTTCTTCCTCTGGCTGAATCCTGAGGTGGAGAAAGCCGTGCTGGAATGTGGCAATCAGCCCCAACACCCTGCCAGCCTAGGGCAACTTAAGGCAATAAGAAGCAACCAGAAAATTGTATTGCTTTGATTAATAAGAAAAATCAGAGTAATGTGGCCTTGTAGCCTGGCAGGTGGCAGGGTGTCTTCAGAAGCTGTTCTGGTGATGTCACCCTGTCAGCATCCCCAGCCCAGGTTCCAATGGAAGGAAGAGCTGTGGGATGGTTCCTGGGCTTTAGCACTACCAGGGAGGGAGCTGTGGATAGCCACATTGGAGACTGGGTTTCCAAGTGAGCTTCCTTGGGGAGAGGAGTCAGCAATCTGAGCACTGTGGATGCTTGTTGAGGCCGGCTTCATTGTAGAAGTGCCCTGAGTCCCAGCCAGGAACCTAAAGCCAGGTTTGGCATTGGTGGGCATGAACGAGAGGTGGCTGCTGGCAGTCCTGCCTGTCCATGGGAGAGGCACTGCCATCTATTGCCAGGCACCTGGATTACAGACCTCACTGGGTGGCCATTCAAAGCTGTGCCCACCTGGTTTTTTCTGTCTTTGACTGCTTGAAGGGATTGACAAGTTGTTCAAAACCCCTAAAATGGATCAGCACTTTGGTAGCTACATTACATTTTAGGTGTGTGAGTGCCCAAAATCAGACTCCAGCCTTGGACAATTTGGGTTTTCTTTGTGCATTTTGCAAAATGAGCTACTCTTCCTTCCCTGCCCTGAGTTGCATGAGGTTGCCTTGTGCAGTGGAGTACTCCCATTGTTCCATCCCACCGCAGAAATGCCTGGTACATTTACCCCAGCCCTCCACTGGAAGGTGACTAGAGAGAGGTGGATGCAGTAGAAGGGATAGGGTGTCACTTGTAGCTCAGAAACAATATGTGAAAGGACATGAAAAGGCAGCAGGAGGGTAACGCTGTCTTCATGGGGAGAACAGCCTGGGACATGGAATACATTTCTCAGCTAAGACTGGCATCTCCAAATACTGTATTTGACAGAATAAGCAGCAAAATAGGAACACCTGCAGAGAATACGAAAGATGTTTGTCACTATGTGAACCTGGAGGGATTCCTGCAGTGCTTTGAAAAGACCTTCTTGGGTTTGATGAATTGTGCAGTAGGCCAGCAAACGAACCATTCTGAAGACCAGGGCAAGGTTATTCAGAAAATGATCTGGCAGTCTCTGTGGGCTGTTCAGTGAAGACAGCACCTCTCTGTGAAATTGTGGTTTAAGAGCAAAGCAAACGAAAAACTAGAATAAAGAAGAAACAGAAGGAAAAAATGTGTTCAGCATTTGTCAATAATGCTTGCTCTTTTGACAAATTCTGTTCCTTTTTCATCACCTGTCTTCAATAGTATGTGATGGAGGTACAAAGATGCCACAAATGAGCAGAGTATAAGAATAATACTCTGATGAGAAGGTGAAAAAACATTTTTGTATTAGAGGGAAGAAACACAACAGATGTGATTGACTTATCTCACGATTATTTTTCATTCCTCAATCTTCTTTCTGCTGCAAAACTGTTGCAGAAGCCAGTTGGCTGGAATTAACCAGATACTCAACATACAGGTGGAAAATGTTAGATGAAATGAGAGTCACAAAGGAAATTAATGACAAAGCAGGGAATTAAGCCAGGCTCTTCAAAATCTGAACTCTGGAACTACCTTCTCTTTTAAAAGCCTATTAAAAAAGGCATTAAATGGATAAAAATAAGTGGTAGTTGTATCAAAACCATGATTAAACTATGGAAATATTCCACGCTTGGTGTCGCCAGTTTTGGAATGCTGTGGGACACCAAGAAAAAAAAAAAAGAAAATATTTGACAGTTATGTGAACAACAATACTTGTGATGACTTTGGCTAGGAGAAAACTGTAAAGTGCATAAATTGTGCTGCAGGACATAAGCCAACTGCAGGCTGTCAGGAACCAGGAAGGAACTTTCATTATAGGAGGATTACTGGATAATTATCTCATCCATGACAGTGTTCTTCCTTTAAAGTATTTGATCTTGACTAGTGAAAGCAAGATAATGGGTCATGTAGTTTTATGAGTTTTTTGTGACAAGGACATTATCTGGTGCCTGATGGCAATTTCTTCTGCCTGTTTGTATTGTACCTTTCTCTAGGGATATGTTCACCTTCTTCCTAAGTGTCTCAAGCAAAGACGTTTCAGCTCCCTACCCTCTGTGAAAAGAAATTTTAAAGACAGCAGTCCTTGACATGAGCAAATTATTCTTGCCATTCATGCTAGACTTCCTCTTGCTCATGTTTGCTCCACTTCTCCCAGGTGATTTTCCAAGAATGACCTGAAGAAAACCCTGTATTCTTGGGACTGTAGCCCTTGTTCTTGTGTCTGCTGCTTCTTATTGTCTGAGCTGTCCATCTATTGAAGTCATGTCTCTCTTGTTCTGTCACCCCCACCTTAACACCGTGGTACCTTTTGGTCCTGATACCAGTTAAATGTGCTATTTTTTTTTAACTGTGTTGTTACTCTTCTGGGTAATGATGTATTTTGTGTCTTTGACGTTGTATCTTGCAGGAAGAGCCAAGGAGCAAATCTAAGATCTGTGCCAATGTTTTCTGTGGAGCTGGGCGTGAGTGTGCAGTGACTGAGAAGGGAGAGCCAACCTGCCTCTGCATTGAGGTATGGGAGCAGCACAGGTTCTGGGTCTGGGACAGGTGTCACCACCATCACCCCCCCAGATGGGTTTCTGTCACTGGAAGGATCCCAGTGATGGAATAAGGCTATGGCTGTTTTGAAGCAGCTGCAAATTCACAGTGGCTCTTCAAACAGCACGACTGTTTCCAGTGTTGTGTGGGGGAAGAGTCCTGTAGGGTAGATGTAGTTTGGGACTCACAGCTGTTCTGCTTGCAGGACTGCCTAGGATCTTTACATGCACAGGAGACTCTTGTTGGGAAAGCCCAGTGAGGTATGGATGTGCAGCTGGCTTTGAAGGGCACTCTAGGGAGTGCTCTGTGACCTCCAAGACAGCCTGCCCTCACTGGCGCCTTGTTTGAGGAGGTTACAAGCACCCCACTAAAAATCAGCTTTTGTAAAATGGAAATAATTGTGGTAGAATGCTGTAAGGATGAATAGCTTTATCCAGCAGGGAGTCAGAGATGATTAGAAGAGTCTTTCCCAGCTGTAGGGACACAATGTCTCCCTACTGTGCTCTGCTCCATCCTTCAAAACATTTCTGCCTGGCTCCTGGGAATGGCCATGTGGCTCTTTGTTCCCCCTTCCTTCACAGCTTGCAGCTTTGGCATGACCAGCCTGGGCACTGGAGAGAAATGCTCTGTTAGTAGGAAGAGAGTCTGTCACTCTGGGTAGGCTTGGCCAGACCAAAAGGGACAGAAGAGAGAAGCTCATAGCCTGAACAGTGGCACTGGTGAACTCTCTCTTGCTGTAGGCTGTGCTCTTTGTTCATGGCTGATGGCTTATTCTGCCATTTGGTTGCAGAAGGGTGGAGCAGAGTCTGCAGAGAGATGCAATGGAGCCAAGCAAGCGCAGGTGCATAGACCAGAGGCACAGAAACACCTCTGGGCACGCATGGCCACGGCACATGGAGCAGCAGTTGCAGGATTATGCTCCATATTTATACTGAGCACTGATTTCTCTGCAGGGGTCTGCTTTCAGAAAGACTCCTGTCATGCTGGTGGTGATGGAAACTGGAATGAAGTGAGGCCTTTGAACTCACACCCACAGACTTCCCTCTGTGGGTTTTTCTGGGGTGATAATGGGTGAGTTAGCCTGTTCCAAACACAAGGCCAAGGGGACTATGCCAAGGACTTCTCCTGAGCTGGGCTGATGGTTGGACTCACCAAGCTGTCCCAAGGAGGCAGGTGAAACGCTGTGTCCTCTGGCTCTCCCACAGAAATGCAAACCTCACAAGAGGCCTGTGTGCGGGAGCAATGGCAAGACGTACCTGAACCACTGTGAGCTGCACCGTGACGCCTGCCTCACCGGCTCCAAGATCCAGGTGGATTACGATGGCCACTGCAAAGGTAACCCTGGCAAGGAGGGCTGGCTACACTCTCAGGGACAAAGAGTTGGAAGGGAAGCATGGCAAGAGGCGAGGCAGAGGCCTCACCAGCCAAGACCTTGTCCCACAGTTGCTGAGTGGGGTAAACAAGGCAAGCCTCAAAACAGTAGCCAATTCAAGCAAGAGTCCAGATGACCAGGCAAGCTGGCAGTGATGAAGCAGGCCTGAAATCAAGTTGTGAAGTCAGGGCTGGTGATTCTGGTAACCAGAATCAGACAAGAGCCAGACAAGCTCATAGTGATGCAGTCTGAAGCAGGGCTGAGATCAAGATGGGAACACAGTCACCAGGTCAGGCCTGGATCAACAGTCTATGGGAGAGAGTGGTTGCAACAGAGCTGGAGACAGGCATGGCTACAACACAATAATCACAGGCAAGGACTAGGAGTTGAGGCATCAGATATTAAATGGAGCCTCATGGCTCATGGTTAGAGAGTTTGGATGGAGGCTCTAGGTGAGGCCAGCAGGGTCATTAAGGCCCTCATTAGTGCACTCAAAACCCTGACACCTTGGCTGTGGGGGGACCTTGGAACTATTGGCTTCCCAGGCTTCTGGGAGTGTGGCACTCAGTGAGCAGCTCCTGCTGCCTCACTCTAAGCTTTTGGATTCAGCCAGGTAAGTGTCTCAGTTTAACTGCTGAGGAAAAGTCATGCTCTGAGGATAAACTCCTAAAACCAGTACTATAATCCATGTTCATAAGGAACCTCAATAACTTTAGGAGCAAGGATTTTGCCTCATCAGCAGGCCTGTTTAACTCACACACACACACACACCAGATGCATGGTTTTCTTGTGTTCAGACAGAGTTTCATGTGTTTAAATGTGTGCCCACTGTCTCTTGCCCTGTCACTGAATACCATGGATGAAAGTCTGGTGTAGTCTTCATTTCCTTCCATCAGATTTATAAACATTGATGAGATTGTCCCTGAGCCTTCAGTTCTTCAGTCTAAAATTTCCTCAGTATCTCCTCATGGTCCAGGAGATTCCAGCCCCTCAATCATTTATGTGGCCCTCATATATCCAAAGACTCCCAGGTTCCTCTGCTTTTACCCATGGTGGGAAGAGATTTTTATTGCTTCACACTGCATCAGAAATGTCCTCTTCTGTCTTTCCATTAACAGAGAAGAAGTCTGAGAATCCAGCTGCAAGTCCAGGTAAGAAGCTGTCTCCAGTTTGGCTGAGGCCTCTGTATGAATTTGTATGCTCTGGGACATGGGCAGAGGGTGTGCTGGGGGAGTGCAGAGCTCTGTGTAAAAGTCATATCCTGCATGGGCTGTAGAAGAGTCTGAGTTGATAAATCAGCTGAAATGTGATTGCCCAGCTCTTTACTCTTGGGTAACCTTTCAGAGCTCATACATCTCCTGGGCTTTTCACTGTGCTGGGATGTCTCAGGGGCTCAGCATAGAGAAGGTGCAATGAAACCCAGTTTGCCCCCAGGGACTCAAACTGTGCTCATCACCCAGACTGAGGGATGGAGCACTCTTTTAAAGGGAAACTTTGCTTTAGGAGTGATGAACCAATGGGTGCAGAGGCAGAGAGGAGGTACAGCTGAACTGCCTACACCATCAGCCAACAAGATGATCTTGAGTCTCTTCTAAACTAAATTATTCTATGATTACCTAAGTTATAAGTCTCTTTGATTCCCTGTGCTTGGTTTTTCCCCTTATGTATTGCCACGTGTACTTAACACTGGATTTTAGGGCCATGGCTTGTCATCAGGAGAGCCTTTTTCCTATTCATGACCTCTAAGTACTGGAGCTGTATAATCATCAACTTTAACTTCCTAGGACAGATGAGAGCAAAGTCTCATACAAACTGAAGAGGAAGGACCATGTCAGAGCATGTCCACCATCCTAAAGCAGTTTTAAAGAAGTACAAAATTAAACATGCAGAATCCCTACTGAGCTGAATTTTTTTCATCTCCATCTGGTTGTGATAGTAGTCACTGGATTCAGAAGATCCTTAGTGTGTGTAAGTGACATGAATGCACACTGATTACTGGGCAGGTGTGACAATTCCCAGCTAGGCTTTCAGTTTTGTTTCTAAATGCACGGTTTGTACCAGCACACAAAGTGATAACTGCCCTGGAGAAACCTGTGACACTGGCAAGCACTGTGAGTGAACAAGCCCAACTTGACCCCCTCTCATTTCCAGTCAAAGTGGACAAACGAGGGCTTTGAAGAAATAGTACTTCCTGAGATAATAGGCCCTAAAATCCAAGGCTTAGAGACAGAGTGGTAGAAAGGCTTGCTCAGTCTAGTCTTCCCCCTTGCAGAGGATGGAGGTTTTGGTATTTTAAAGTTGACAGCTGAATGACAATTCTACGCAGTGTCAGGAAGCCTGGGGACATTGTCAGTTACCTTCTCCCTCAGTCTGGGACTCTTCACACCAAGATGAGTCAGCTCCGCGTTGTTCTTCCACAAGCTTCAGGAATGGGAAGGAAGAGCTTTGGCAGGAGTGTTGTTTTCCAGCCGTGCCACATGGTGTCACCAACAGCCCATCCACTATTCAGCACATGATGGCAGTGATGTAACTCCAAGGACTGGACCGAGGGGCTGCAAGCTGCCATCAGGGCGAGCTAGCTGGCTTTTATTTCCTCTCTTTGTGATCTCCCTGCCAGCTTGATTTCTCTCACTCTTGTTTTTCCTTCTACTGCACTGTCTCCCATCACAGTTGTCTGCTACCAGTCGGACAGGGACGAGCTTCGTCGCCGGGTCATCCAGTGGCTGGAAGCTGAGATTATCCCAGATGGGTGGTTCTCCAAGGGCAGTAACTACAGTGAAGTTCTGGACAAATATTTCAAGGCAAGTAGAGCAGCACCTGCCTCAAAGCCCAGACAACATTTCTTGCCTTGTCACTTCCTAACAGCTGCTGTGCCCCCAGCTGAGAGGCTCCAGTGCCTGATGTGCCTGTCGAGCTGGGGACCAGAGGGATCTGAAAAGTCCTACAGGCTGATGTGTTATGGGCTGCCTGCAGCAGCCACTGACACAGCTTGTGACAACCAGGTGTGGAACATCTCTGACTCCTGGTGTCTGACCTGCCCTGGGGAAAAGGAGGAGGGCAAACGAGGCTGTAGCAGAGTAGAGAACTAATCTCAGGGGTAAAAAGCCAGAGAAAAGGGGTGAAAGTGCTGGAAATGCAGGAAGCTGTGGCAGGGGCTGCTGATCCTTTGGTCTAGGTAGTCCCAAGGCCATGCTGAGATGGGTGTAAGGGACACTTGGGGGCTTCAAGGAATATGTCCCAGTTGTGGCTGAGAGCTGGCAGTTCACTCTGCAGAGTGAAAGGAGCCACTTGAGTCTTGGGCCTTGCAATAATCTTGTTTCTCCCTCCTCCCTGTCAGTCTGTCCCTCAGCCCATCCGCACCCGCTTCTGTAACCAGCAGATCCCAAGCTTCTCCCATGCTCCTGCCACATGCACTGCTGTGTCCCTCCCCCTCATGCCTGGCTCCTGACAGATACTTTAAGCATTCAGGATGGAGCTGGAGGAGCAGGTGGGGAAGAGGGGAGAACGTTTAAATCATGAGCTGTTGACAGCCAGAGATTAATGGTGCCTGACAGGAGTTAGCACTGCAAGCAAATTTGCCATGGCAATGGCAGCCCCTGGTGAGACAGAGGAGCTGGTCCCCTCTCTACACAGAGCATCCTCACATTTGCAGCCTTTAATGCTGCTCTGTGGAAATCCACTGCCCTGGGTGCTCCTGTCAGTGCCTGCCAGCGCCCAAAAGTGGCAATGTCCCGTGTCAGTCCCTCTCCCTGCAAATGTGCTGTCCCCAGCCACTTTTGCAGGGTCTCCCCAGGTCATGGACTTTGCTGAAATGCATGAGCCAGCCACAGGCTTGTTCCAGTGTCACCGCACAAGCCGTTCACACCCACTGTCCCCACGCCTGTCAGCGTGCTGGAGATATCCTGAGGCTGCAGCTCAGAGGCAGGCAGCCTCACGTTCTCTTTACTGTCCCACTTTTTCTGGAGCACTGATCCCAGCCACTGGGTGAGAGTTCTTATGGCAAAGAAATACCTCTGCTTGTACCAAAGGGAGAATTTCCATGGCCAAGGTCGACAGTATGAGGTTCAGAAAGGACAAGTGTCGGGTCCTGCATTTGGGTCACAACAATCCAGGCAGAACTACAGGCTGGTGAAAGAGTGGTTGCCAAGGGAGGTGGTGGAGTCACCATCCCTGGAAGGGTTCAAGAAACAACTGGATGTGGCACTTGCTGCTGTGGTTTAGTTGATAAGGTGGTGTTCAATCAGAGGTTGGACTCAATGATCTTGGAGGTCTTTTTCAACCTCAATGATTCTGTGATTCTCTATTAGGTGGTAATCCACCTTTTCAACTGCCTTATTCTTACAGCTTTGAAACATTTTTAAAGCAGAATTCAGAGTTTAGAACAACTTGGGACAAATCAAAGCAAAGCAAACTAAATGGCTTCAAGCACACAGAAATTTGTGTCAGCAACCAGTGTCTGCTATTACTAGAGGAATTTTGTCATGCCAGGCTCTTCATGCCCTGCATTCCTGCAAATGGCCTGATTCCTGTCCTGCATGTAGGAAACACTGGAGGCATAATTCAAACAAAGCTTTTCCCTTTTCTCCTTGATGGGGAGGTTTGTAGATGTGGCATTAAGCTATTTCCCTCCTGGAAGCCTGACTTGTGGGGCTCACTGGGATGTGCTTTGTTCATCAGGCAGGTCATGACCTTGAAGGACATTATTTCAAGAGGAGCAAGAGCAGTAGCATGAAGCTGCTCCATTTTGGAGAATCACTGTGGGAATGCCTTTAATATAGACCATAACTTCGAAAGGCAAGAAGACTCACTTAGCAGTCTGGATTATTAAGAGAATTGCAGTCATTTTCACAATAAAAAGCAGGACAAGAAGCTCAAAGTCTAGTGGAAGTTGACATGTGGAGCAGTTACACAGGATTATTTCCCTAGCCCTAGATGTTTCTCCTGAAACACATAGAGGTAACAACAGGCAGTGTCTATTCCAGCATTCCTGAGAGCACTGCACAAGGAACCACAGCAACCTGCCCCAGTCACACAGCAAAAATAAGGTGGCAGCAGTCCGTGTGCAGGATTAATTTTCCACTCCCAGCAATGCAGCTGTCTCTGAGGGGGCGCAGCAGTTCCTGCTGAGTGCCCAGCACTGCGGTGTCACATCTCCAAACAGGAAAGCAAAATGCAATTATTTCTTTGGGAGTACAGCCAGGATTTTGGGGCTAAAAACACTGCTCTCCAGTGCCAGGAGTCTTGTCAGGACCTTAAGAAGTTGATGGTGAGGTGTTGTGCTATTGCATTAAATTTTTACCTTGGTATCAGCAGAAAATTGCTTCCTGTGATTTTTCCCTTTTGTCACTGTCAGAGTCCAGGCACAGCTTTAAATTTACACATATTGGAAAGCTGACACCTCCTTGAATGCAGCTGGTCTGCTTTAAGGCAGGAGGTATATAAGAAAACTAAGAGCTGGCTGAAACAAACAGAAGAAATAGGGTTAGAGCCATAAATCAAGCAGCAGGAGGTGAATGAGAGGCAGTGTAGCTTATCTGTGAGAACAAGGCTAGGATCATTTCTCTCTTATTCTGAGGCTAATGTGGATATGTTGCTGCTTTTCTCTGAGCCTCTTTCTTTGTGAAAAACAGTGATAATGGAACTTGTCTCACTAAAGTTTCAAAATGCTATGTACATATGGAAGAGGAAGAAGGAAGGGGTACTTTGGACTGATAAATGAGAGCCTCTCATATCTTCCTATCTTCCCCTACAGAGCTTTGATGATGGTGATTCTCGCTTGGACTCCACTGAATTCCTGAAGTTTGTGGAGCAGAATGAGACTGCCATCAACATTACCACCTACATGGACCAGGAGACCAACAAGTTGCTCAGGTGAGCAGTGGACAAGATGCCAGAGGGAGGGCCAGGGGGACAAATGTGGTAGAATGGAATATGGAAACTCACTCATGGTAAATATCAGCTAGGGCTTGCACTGGCAGAGTTAACTGTATGAAGTGGCTTCCAACTTAAATAGGTGTGAACACCACAAGAGGAGCAGTCCTATCTCTACCCTTCATGTTAGGCACGTATTCCAACCCTCTTTTGCCCTAAATTTAGAACTTGTGCAGCCAGACAGGAGTTGGGTAATAGAAGATTTGTCATCTTCTTTCTATTTCCTAATAAATTAGCTTGCCTGGGGACTGCCCTCACCTTTTTCCTAATAGCTACATCCAGTGCAAGGAAGATGGTGGAAAAACACTGTTCATATGCAGCCTATAGTTTGAGAGGTTTCCCTCTTTCTTTGTCTACCACTGTGTGAAAATAGGCTGCTTGTGGTTATGCTGTGCTTGCATCTGTTCCTATGTGACAGCATGTAGATGTCAACAAATGTGGATGTCCCATTCCTGCTGTTCTGAATATCCCCCACTGCCCGGCTCGGTGCCAGACAGAGAGCATTTTGTGACTGTTTTTCTTTTCTCTGTATCCCATGAGGTTTCCTTAGAGAAGCCACTTCTGCCAGACATCTTGGAGTCTCCCTAGTTATTACTGTATTTACTCACCTGCACTCTGAAGACAGTAGAGCAGGGACTGGCCTAGCACAGTCCTGTGCAGAAAAAGCCTCTGTATTTCCTTTCAGGGGACTCTGCGTAGATGCCCTCATCGAGCTGTCAGATGAAAATGCTGACTGGAAGCTCAGCTTCAATGAATTTCTCAAGTGCCTCAGCCCATCCTTCAACCCACCAGAGAAAAGTAGGAACTCCTCACTTATCTTGGGGAACAAGAGGGGTCGTGGGAAGGGAGGAAAGAAAAGAGATCAGCTTCAAGCCAGACATCGGGTGCTGTAACTCCACGGCCAGATATAATTTTAATATATGCCTGCCTCTCATTCAACAGCACCCTTTGTCCCTGCACTGTTGAAAGTACTGCTTTTACTGTTCCAGAGCTCCTGCAGCTCTTGTGATAAGAAAGGTTTGCATTTTAGAAGCAAGGACCTAGGTTGAATGGGTATGGTATGCTTGTAAGGTCAAGGCATGTATTTAACAGTGCAGAGGTCAGTCATGTGAGGAGTTCACGGCTGGATAACTTAGGAAAGTCAGACCAGACCAAAGTCCTGCTATGCTCTGCCTTTCACACAAAGAGCCTCCCTGATAAGCATCTCAAAGTTCACTATCCTTCCAAACCATTTCCCCAACTTATCCCCACCTGGATCAGAATAACCCAAGCTTTCATTTCAGGGGTTCTTTTCTTTGTGTAACAGATAAGGAAATTCAAACAAATCCAAAACTGAGATTTCATTTGGAATTGAGAAATAGAAATATGGTCTTCTGAGGAAGAAAAATAAAGGGTTTGATTTTCCCAAATTATATTTTGGCTGATTTCATTTGCCAAATTCAGCATGAATATTTTAGTCATGAGGAAACTTCTGGTGGTTGCGGGAAGGAAGGCTTCCCCTTAAACCTCATCTTCTCTCTCAAGGCATCTCCAAAGTATGTTGTCTGTAGCCTGCTCGCTCTCTCACAAGCACTGCCCTTGTTTTGTGCCTCTTCAGGGTGTGCCCTGGAAGATGAGACCTATGAGGATGGAGCAGAGACCCAGGTGGAGTGCAACCGCTGCGTCTGTGCCTGTGGGAACTGGGTGTGCACCGCAATGACGTGCGAGGGTCCGTATGCTCTCCAGAAAATTACTGTGTTTGGGTTTGGGCAAAAGGAATTTTGCCCAAAAATTGTGTGACAATTTTTGGGCAAAAATTCCCAAATTTTTGGTCTTCCAAAAGGCACCAGCTATCCAGGGTTCTTCTCTCTCCAGTTTTTCCTCAGCTTCTCCATGGGTGGTTTCGGTATAACCCTCACTTGTTCTGTGTTAGTCAAACCCAAGCTGGTACTGATGCAGAGGTCAGAAAATGTGTAACTGGGCTCGGGGCAATGCTGGGGTTTGTAGTTTGGATTTGGTGTCATGAAAATTCAGCACTAAATCTTCCAAACTAGAGCTACTCTGTATCCAGCTGGTGCAGACCAAATAGGTCACTGCTGCGACTGTACTTGTAGGTGTGAGCAAGTCAGCTTTCCTGTGTATGTGTCCATATCCTCACTGTATCTGTGTTTATGGAATTTGTAAAACAGGATCTAGGATCCTGTCTCGATCAAGAGGGGATATAGGAACCTTCATCCAATGCCAAGAAAGCACTTTAGCTTCTTGCCACAAAAACTGTAGAATAATGCTGATGAAGGGAGGTGGTGCTATAGGAAGGGAGGGTTGTTTGTTCCACCTTTGGAAGGCCCTTAAACTTGCACAGCCAGGGTACAATTGTGAGAGGTCATGGTGCAGTTGTGAACAACAGCTCTCTGTTTAACCTTCTCACACATAGTCCAGGGCCAGTGGAATGCCACCTTTTCCCTGTGTTGGCAAATGTATGGGTCCTTCCCAAGGAGCCACATCCATCTTCCCAGCATAGTGCTGCATTTCTCTGGCCTTCTTCCCTAGAAAGCCAGCCCTTCCTGCATTTTTATATCCTTCTTCCCTGGAAACCAGGCCCTTGCAGGAGCTTTGTTTCACAGCTGTGTGGGACCTGCCAGGAGTACACTGTTTCAGATCTATAGTCAGTAGCTTGGGCAGAGGAGGAGGAGAGGGAAAGGGCAGCAGTGTGTACAGAGCTTTTCATGTTTATCTGATCTTCTGTAGCAGAGGTTTCAGGATCACCTCAGCTCAAACTTAGCTGTAGCAGCAGGAACTCACCTGAGAAGACAACTGTAGTATTAATAGAACTGCCAGAGGAGCTGTGTGTAGGTGTCATAGATTAAGCAACAGAATGAGAGACTCTTTTTGTTGCCTCCCCAGAAACAACCTTCAAAGTTGCTATGCAACACCTGTTCTTGCTGCCTACTTTGTTCCCTGCATCCATGACAGAAGCATGCAATGGGATAATGATTCCTTGACTTTCTGCCCATGTCAGAGCAGCGGAGCAGTTAGAGGCTATTGTTAGAGGAATAATGAAACTGAAGAATCAGATCAAACGCATCAGCAAGTTACATCTTCATTGAGCAAAATTACCTCTTCATTAGATATCAGTTATTGTACTTAAGTAGCACTGAGATTCCATTTATTCCCTACAAGAGGCCAAGATGTTTGAGCTAATTATAGGTGTTTCTTTTCAATCATATGCAGCCTCTTATATGTGGCTTTATTATCAGTCACGTGGAAGGGAGAGACAGGGACAAACTGCACACCCAAGTTGTGAAGTCCCAGGCAGTCACAGGACTGTTCCCTTTCTAAGAAGCCAACCCATACCATCCTCCAGCAAAGGCTTCCTAAGCTTGAGGGGTGCTGTGGCTGACCTGCCTCCCTTTGTTCTTCATGGTTCAGCATCTGAAATTTGCATCCCCTATTTATGAAACACTAAACTCCATTTCTGCTTCCAGGGAGGAATGAGAAGGTGCCTGCTCAGAGACACCGACCTGATCAAGATTTGACTGAGGAGGAGATGGCCAGATACGTTCAGGAACTGCAGAAGCATCAGGTTAGCATGAAGCTGGGAAGGTCTGCTTGCACAAAGCCTCACCTTGCCAGATGGGTTCCTTCTGTTTCTGTCACTAGGAGACTTCTAGAAGGAGTAGAAGGGGGCAAGAGGTAGAAGGAGGAGCAGAGTAAATCTCTTGCCTGTGGGGACAAATACAGGTGTGGGACTTTCAGATACAAGTCACTGTTGCACTGCCTGTGGATGGACCAAAGACTTCAGAGCGCTACCAATTCCTGTGTCAGCGCAGAGCTTCACTTCTGTGCTCTCTTTCCCTAGGAGACGGCTGAGAAGACCAAGAGAATGAGCACCAAGGAGATGTAAGGGGCCTCCACAGCGGAGGAGCCCAGGAGGATGGGCCCAACCTGCCACCCTGTCCTCCAGTGCTGATCTCAGTATGCACAAGTGTCTGCTACAGTTGCCCAGTCACAGATATTTACATGTATAGCGATGGGTTATTTGTTTTGTAATACACAAAGAATGGGGCCAGGAAAGGGGAGCAGAGCCCACCTGTTCAGGGAGCTTCATTGCTGGGACCTTGGAAGGCTGGGAGGGACTTAGAGCAGCCTCTGGGGCCCTTCCCCAGAGCAGACAGCTGCTCCCTCCAAGAGCTAACAGGGATTTCTTGTTCCTCTGGATCTGGGGAAAGGATGGAGGTCAATGCTGGATAGAAAAGGGAGTCTTCAGTCAATACAATTGTCAACACCACCCTTGGCTGCAGAAATACAGGCCTGGCAGTTTTGTGGCCGAACACGTGTGCTGCAGGGCATCACTATCCACGGACCTTACCCTTTGGTTCAAGCTCCTCAAAGCTGGTCAGCCTGGTGTGACACCTGGGAGTCATGGTGCCATGCTGCTGGCATGAGTCCAGCACATTCCTCCTTGCTTTCCACCAGACTGTCCCCAGCAGCTCCTCCAGTACATTGTGGGCTCCAACAAAACATGGTTCCTTTTGACCTCATCTCACTCTTACTCTCCCTGCCCCCTCCTTAGAGGTGCTATCGTATTTTTTTCTTATCACATTCACATGCTGACTCCCCAATTTTTTTTTTGTTTCGGGTTTTTTATTATTTTATTTCCTATGGTAGTGATTCAGCTTTTGTATGTTTTGTAGCTCTAGATCTTTCAAGAAAACCCAGCGTGTGGGTTTTTGTTGTTGACAGTGCTGTAATGTCCATGCACAGTTTGTATTGCACTGCGCTCAGCTGCCACAAACACCACGGGCGAATTGTGAGCCTTGCACTACAGGGTATTTCCCGGTTGGGGGATAGCAGTGTCCCTCCTGGGAAGAAGAGACAGGGTTGGATGTAATTAGTTTCACCAGACACAGATTGCCACTGCAGCTCTCTAGCTCTCACTCTCACAGCTAACATTGACCATGTGCTTAAAGTCTGCTCGTGCCTCTCTAAATTGCTCAAAGCACTCTAGAGACAGAGGGACCAGGCAGTCCCATTAGTACAGTATCTTAAAAAGCTTAACTATGTAGAAAACTGTTTAGTTGTGCTGTTGGCATCATCTTGGGCTTTTCATCTTCCTCTGGGGTGAGGCAGCAGCACTATTTGATTCCAGGTATGAGTTTGGAGTCAGGGCTGGAAGCCTCATTACTGACACATTTCTTAATGTCATTGATCAGACCACCTTTGACCACTCTCACATTCCTTCATGGGTCAGTTTCATCCCACACGTTTCTCAGAGCATTGGTCCTAGATGTAAATGAAATGCTCTTTTGTTGATAGTCACCTCTGTAGCCTGAAGCCCAGCTGATTTTCTTATGCAGTTGTCAAATGTACTTCATGCACACCTGAACATCCACGTTCCCTTCATGCCTGTGCTGTGCTTCCCAAGCAGTTGCATGTATCCTGATCGACTGCTTGTGACTTCCTTCTTTCTGTTTGTGAGCAACTTCAGCAGTTGTTGCTGTGTATCTTGCAATCCCTATTGCTCACTCAAGCAAAATTCCACGCGCATCTGAAAAAGCATGTCTGGTTTGAGTGAAGATCAGCAGGACTTTAGTCCCAACCTTCCCCTTCTTACACAGGGCTTTCCTTGGAGAGGAGGAATGAGCTGGTACCTAGAAGTATAGGAAAAGAAGAAAGCTTGGTCCTTCCTGTGCTCTTTCCCATGAGCCAGATGTGTTAAAGGCTGTCTGTTCTTTGAGCTGTTTTCCTGATGTGAAGCCAGAGGACTTCCATTGACTTTGGCATAGTGCCACTTTTCCAGTGACAGCTATAATGTACCCTGGCATTGAGGTTTTGGCATCATAAATACAGAAGGAGACTGGGGTTTTTTTTCTCGTGAGGACCTGTATTTGAGCAGCTGTCACCTGTGAACGTGAGAGGAATGAGTCCATATGAGCTGAGGGTAATGTGGACAAAGTGCTACACTGGGACAGTCATTGTTTGTGTTCTGGTGGCACTGGAAGAAGTGGTTGGTGAAATAGGAGCACCCATTAGACATAGAGTTGCTCCTTCCCAAGAGTATGAGTGAAAGGGCTTCATGTGCTGGATCTGGAGTCACAGGAACATTGTTAATAAATGTTTTGCTTTATTCCAGCCCTGTTCTAAAAGGTAGTTAGTGTCTCCCAGATCACTTCCTTCCAGCTTGGGTTGTTAAAGTGCCTTACAGAAAACAACAGCTTGCCTTAAAGGCTTTCCCTGGACAGGGATAACATCTTGTTCAGTCAGGAATATCTCCCAACTGTGAAAACCAGAGCACGTGCAGGAAGGGAAGGCGAATGCACCGCCTCAGGGCTTCTGTAGGCTGCACTGTGATGTGTTCTCTGTCCCCTCCTGCCTGCTGTGGCTGTGCAGCCGTGTGGATGGGGGTGGCTGCTGGGGCAGCCGGAGACGTGTGCTGGCAGCTGAGGTTTACAGAGCTTGCTCTTGCACTGAAGGCGGAGGGATGGGCTGCGGTCTCCGGCAAGCGGAGCTCTCCGAGAAGCCATACAACAGATCCCAGGGTAGCCTAGGGCAGCAGGCTGGGAGTGCAGCAACAGTGCCTCTGGAAAGGGCTGCTGCCTGTGGAGCCTTTTCCTCCTTGTGCCCCCACAAAGGGACGTGGTGGAAAGCAGGACCCGTTCTAAGGGCAGCAGTTCTCAAAAAGGACCAAAACATCTCGGCTCCCTGCACAGAGGGGAAGGGCAGCCCAGACTGAGCAATGCTCAGGTTTCCGCAGGCTGGTCAGTCACTAACTCCTGCAGGGTGACCTGGCTGCTGGGGAAGGAAGTGCTGAATTTCAGCCATTGCCTTCTGGGATGATTGCTGTACAGACTACAAGGGGCAGGGAAGGTGTTTTGTTTTGTTTTTCCCAAAAAAACAAATTTAAGCAACAAACAAAAAAGTCCCACTCCTCCCTCTATATTCCCTCCTGTACGTGTGTGAAATTTATCAGTATTCTGTAGGTTTCCTTAGTGCACTTATTTTACTTGATTTTGTAATTTTTTTGAAGCAGGGGGGTTTGAATATTACTGCCAAATAAATGAAACAAAATTTTAAAAATAACACTTGTTTGGTTTATTTTTCACAAGCCACACAACTTGTTTAAAAAAAAAAAATCCTCTGTCTTTGCACATTCATACACAGATCTCAGTGTGTTGGACAAATGTAAGATGTGACTGTTTCTGTTTTATAGCTGGGGAATCAGGGGGAAAGAACCCATAGGCAAGTAAAAACAATACCTAAAGGCCTTGAAAATGTGACCAAATGGTGAAATAGCCTTCAATGGTGCTGTATGACAGGAGGAAGTGCCCTACTGTTCATCTCCCCTTGACGTGTAATGCCACTGCTGTGAGTGCTTCTGTGCAATAATGGCCTGACAGAAGAGAAAGCTGCCTTGCTTTGTTCCACTTGGTGTGCTCCTTCCAAAACTGTTCAAAAAAGAAAACCAAACAACTCACAAACATTGGCTCTTCCATGACATTTTTCACACCAAATGGCCTCTTTAGCGTGTACCAGCTGCTGTACATGCAATCTTTTCTGTGGCATTCCCTGCCCATTCACTGCTCAACTGCAAAGTGAGGCTGTTTTATTACCGCAATTTCTACTGCGAGGATTTCCCAGGATTTTAAGAAGAAATGAATGGAAGCAGCAGCCACAAATTTAGCTAGGTGAAACTACAAATATTTTGCCTTGTGTTCCATGCACATTTACTGAAGCAAAGTGGTTTTGAGGTGGGAGAGAGGAAAAGCAAAAGTTGCGCGCTGCTTGTAGAGGCCTGGGAAAAGCTCTGACCTGTTTATGGAGTTGTGCACATCTGAGTATTAAATTACTGCACTATAGTTACATATCTTAATCACAATTCTCCAGTGCTGTTAAGCTTCAGGTTGAGAAATAGGCTATTTAAGTCATAGATCAAGAGACTGAACTGGATTTGTAAGGTATTTATTAACTTAAGTTCTGAAGACAGGAGCAGACTGATCTATAATAAGACTCAGTTCCTGAACCATGTCACAGGACACACCTTGAGGAGAGCCAGGCTTAAAGCACTACAAAACACAAGAGCAAGATCCAGATGACCTTACTTCTGTGCTTACGTAAACTCTCCTAAAACTGTCCTGGAACAGCACAATGTTTGTAAAGTGGGAAAAATCATGTTGATAAGAAGTTGACGATACTGGTGAAATGTCTGTTCTGCAGCTATCTCTGAGTTCACATCAGGGCTTATACTTGTGAATCCACAGACTCTTGGAAAACAAATGAAACAAGTCCAATGGAAACTGATCTGTTCATTCCTACCCACTGTGGCACACTTTCCTGAAGGTTGGGCATAGCCCTGACAACTTCCTCATCTCAGCAACAGGAGCTGTCATGTCAAAATATTTGTGGTGATAAAATCCAGAGTTCATAAGAGCACCAAAGGAAGGACAAGTGGACTATGGGTTCCATCCATAGTATTCTGGACACCTTTGAAATCAGCATTGTTGCTACTTCACAAGTTTTAAACTCTTGGCTGGTACCTGCAAACTGTGATTTTGTGTTTCTTTCAGTCTAAGATGACAGAGACTTTTGTGTACATGAAGTGTTTTGAGTAGGTGGGAGATTGCTATTCCCTTCTTTTTGGCCTCTCTATCATCACAAGGAAGCAAGTCTGCTTCTTAAGCCTGGACAAAAAGCCGAGGCAAAAGTTCTCTTGGGTTGTGAATCTTCTCATTGTTATCACCCATGGCTGCTGCTTCTTCTTCTGATTACTGACTACACTGATGTTACCCTGCACTCAAAGAGCAATGAACTGAAATCACAGATCCTGACTTGCCTGTTTGCGTATGTATGGTACAACAGGGGTCAGCTCCATGTGGATCAGTGACACAATGGGGGTCAGCTCAGTGTGGCTCAGTGACACAACAGGGGTCAGCTCAATGTGGATCAGTGACACAACGGGGGTCAGCTCCATTGGATCAGTGACACAACAGGGGTCAGCTCCATTGGATCAGTGACACAACAGGGGTCAGCTCCATTGGATCAGTGACACAACGGGCGTCAGCTCAGTGTGGATCAGTGACACAACGGGGGTCAGCTCCATGTGGATCAGTGACACAACAGGGGTCAGCTCCATTGGATCAGTGACACAACAAGGGTCAGCTCCATTGGATCAGTGACACAACGGGCGTCAGCTCCATGTGGATCAGTGACACAACAGGGGTCAGCTCCATTGGATCAGTGACACAACGGGCGTCAGCTCAGTGTGGAGCAGTGACACAACGGGGGTCAGCTCCATGTGGATCAGTGACACAACAGGGGTCAGCTCCATTGGATCAGTGACACAACAAGGGTCAGCTCCATTGGATCAGTGACACAACGGGCGTCAGCTCCATGTGGATCAGTGACACAACAGGGGTCAGCTCCATTGGATCAGTGACACAACGGGCGTCAGCTCAGTGTGGATCAGTGACACAACAGGGGTCAGCTCCATGTGGATCAGTGACACAATGGGGGTCAGCTCCATTGGATCAGTGACCAGCGTCAGGCCGCTTCGCCTGGCAGACCTGTGTGTGTTATGGATTAACTCCTGCCAATGCCCCGGCTCAAGACAAAGCTGTCTTTTCACATCCAGGCGAGGACACGCTCTGAGATACTTCTGGGAGTACCTCCCTTTCGGTGCTCCATGGCAGCACCTCACAGAACCACAGAATGTTTTGGGTTGGAAGGGATCTCAAAGATCGCTCAGTCCCAACCTCCCTGTTCTGCAAGGACCAAAGCAGATCAACCCTTAGACAAACCCGCTGACCAGGGATGCTGGGCTGGGCTCCCCCACCAGCTGCCACAAGGGCTGAGGCAGCACCACTCCTTCGGGCTCCGAGGATAACCAAAAGGGGCACAGGAAAGGCTATGGTTTAATTTTACACCTAGCAGCTCTGGTGCCCCAAGCCTAGAGTAAAACACTTGGCAGGGAGCAGGGCGCATTTCCAGCCGGCGGTCCCTAATCAGCCCGGCAGGCCAGGCCCGCTGGGTGCAGACTGCGGGGGCAGCCGGGGCATCCGCGACCCGCGGGAAGCCACCGCCATGAGGCACCTCCTACCCCGCCTGCGCGCCGCCCTCCCGTGCTCGTTCCGGGGCCGCAGAACGCTCCCTTTCCCTTCGCCGCCCACCCGCAGGTGCCCCGCAACCTGCATAAGAGCGCTCGCCTCGCTGGGGCCGCTGTGGCCTCGGCCGGCGGCGCGCCCGGGATCGAGCATGACGCGAGGGGGTGGCGGCGGGGCTATGCAGGTTCCGGGGCGGGCCGGGGCGGGGTGACGCGCGGGGCCGTCGGTCGGTGCGGGCGGGATGGCGGTGGCTGGCGGGGAGAGCCCCGAGCTGGAGCCGGGACTGGAGCTGGCGATGGAGCCGGAGTCGGAGCCCGAGCCGGAACCCGAGCCGGAGTCCGAGCCGGCGCTGGCGGCGGAGCTGTCGGCGCGGCGCAGCGCGGAGGCGCGGCGGCTGGTGCTGTCGCCGCGGCGGCTGTCGGGCCCGCTGCCCGCCGGGCTGTCGCAGTGGTTCCCGGCGCTGGAGGTGCTGGACGTGAGCGGGACGGGGCTGACGGAGATGGGCACGGAGTTGCTGTCCCTGCCGTGCCTCCACACGTTGCTGGCCAAGAACAACCGGCTCGGCGGGCCCGGCTCTCTGCCCAAGGGGCTGGAGCAGGCGCCGCTCGCCCGCTCCCTCCGCGTCCTCAACCTCAGCGGGAACCGCTTCTCCGAGGTGCCGCCCGCGGTGCTGCAGCTCCGCGGGCTGCGCAGCCTCAGCCTCGGCGGCAACCGGCTCCACGGCATCCCCCCCGACATCCAGGAGCTCCACAGGTGAGGGACGGGCCCCGCGGGAACAGGGACAGCCTCGGCGAGCCCGGCCGGGTTTTCTGCCACGCTCCCCCTCAGGGGGTCGGTTCTCTCCAGCCTTAGGTGTCTCCAAGCACTGCTGCCGCTCACGTGCCTCTTCCTCCTCATCATGTTGGGTTACCAAAACTCCAGGACGTTCTTTACCTCATTCACGTGCATATGTATAAAAGTATCTAAAGGGTGGGCATTGAGGATGAAGGCTGGCTGCTCTTGGTGGTGCCAAGCAATAGGACAAGAGGCAGCGGGCAGAAAATGATGATGCACAGGAAGTTCCTCCTCAACGTGAGGGAGAACTTTAATGGGGGGTGACCAACCACTGGAACAGATTGCCCGGAGTGATTGTGAAGTCTCCCTCACTGAAGGTGTTCCAGTGGACACAATTCTGTTCCATGTGCTCTAGGGTGACCCTGCTTGAGTAGGGAGGTTGGAGCAGATGACCTGCTGTGGTCCTTCTAACCCAACCGATCCTGTCTATTCTTCAGGTGACAATGGGCCTTCCATGCTCACAAACTGGGTGACTCGAGGCACTGCCCAGTCCCTGCAGGGCCACTCTCCTGGTGGTGGTGTGGTTGGTGTGAGTGTTGGCAAGAGGAAGGCTCTCCGTGGTTTTCCTCTCATGCAAGTCTCTGGGTGACAGCGAGATAAACGCCATGTGTCCTGCAAGCTCATGGCTGCACGATGGGTTGCTCAGGAGGATAAAGATGTGTTTGTGGCTGGTTCAAACAATGGAGCCTTTCTACCCATGCAGCTGCAGTCCCACTGGGGCCTGCTGTCCTGGATGGGGTTTTGTGGTGTTTCTCTCGGCCCGTCTGCTCGTGTAGATCTGACAGATACCGACAGACCCGAAGCGTGGAGCCCCGGGCAGTGCTCAGTGCGGTGGTACATCTGCCTCTGGGGCTGTATCCGGCCACCACAGGCCCGTCCTACAGAAACTTGGGGCTGAATCACAGCAATTGCCACATCAGTGGGGTGGGAACAGGCCTTACACAGCACAGGGTATTGGCTGCCTGCATAGGCCTGGGCTGGGCACTCCTGAAGCCTGGTGTCCTCCTGGGCAAGTGGGATGCTTCTTGTGGCTTACGTGACACAGGCACCTCAGTGTGTTCTGCATTCCCAAGCCTCAGGCTGGCCTCTCTGTGGCTCTCTGCTAAGACTTTGGATCTGAACTTTGTTTGCTCCAGCTCTTTGCCAAGG